TTCCTTAACGGGAACTTGACCGAGGATGTGTACATGACACAACCCGAAGGTTTTGTCGATCCAAGGAACCCGAGGATGGTGTGCAAGCTTCAGAGGTCCATTTGTGGACTGAAGCAGGCTACGAGGAGCTGAAACATTCGCTTTGATGAGACAATCAAAAAGTTTGGTTTCTCACAAAACGAAGACGAGCCATGTGTTTACAAGAAGGCTAGTGGGAGCACAGTTGTATTTCTGGTGCTGTACGTGGATGACATTCTCCTTATAGGGAATGACGTTCCTACCTTGCAAGACGTTAAGTCTTGGCTAGGAACATAGTTTTCTATGAAGGACCTAGGAGAAGCGGCCTATATTCTAGGCATAAAGATCTATAGAGATAGATCGAGGCGTCTTCTAGGATTGTGTCAGAGTACTTACATCGATAAGGTCTTGAAACGGTTCAGGATGCAAGATTCCAAGAAAGGGACCTTACCGATGAGCAGTGGCACAGTTCTCTACAAGAGTAAGTGTCCTACGACACCTGATGAGCGAGAACGCATGGATCAGATTCCATATGCTTCGGCAATTGGATGCATCATGTATTCCATATGCTTCTGCTTGAACGGAGGCGTTGTTAGCTGGAAGAGTTTCAAGCAAGCGACCGTTGCAGATTCTACTACAGAAGCTGAGTATATTGCAGCGTCGGACGCGACAAAGGAAGCTGTTTGGATCATGAAGTTTGTTGGTGACTTGGATGTGATTCCTAGTGCAGATAGCCCCATTGCACTGTATTGTGACAACAATGGAGCGATCGCACAAGCGAAAGAACCCATATCTCATCAACGATCCAAACACATACTCAGACGATTTCACCTTATCAGGGAGATCATAGACAGAGGAGACGTGCACATTTGCAGAATGTCGACAGATGAAAACATTGTCGATCCGTTGACGAAGCCTCTCCCTTCGTCGAAGCATGAGGGTCATGTTAGGGATATGGGAATTAGATGTTTAGCCGTTCATGATTAGAGCAAGTGGGAGATTGTTGGTTTAGTGCTCTATGATGTACTGTTTATGAGCTTTATTAAGATACATTTGATGTATTGATACTTTCTATGTTCTTATGAGAGTATTTGATTCATTACATGTTCTTGTATACTAGATGTGTTATGAAATCCATGTATCATTATGAATGATACTAAACTCCCTAGTCTTGTGTCATTATGGGAATGATGACATAATAAGACTAGTATGATGTGTGATTGATGATCATATAGATGATCGTAGGTATTGGATACGATCACAGTCATAGGTATTCGTTGGAGAACGGAATACTGGATTGACCCGCATGAGATTGTCACATGGACTAGCGTCATGACTGAAATCTCATATGGCGGTTCCTTGATTGGATCCTAAGACCTAAGATATCTATGGAATCCAACATGAGGAGTTACGTGCTTTGATTACGTCAAACGTCCTGCGTAACAGGAGGACTATAAAGGCGTGTATCAGGTACGAAATGAATCATGTGCTAGATTGTAGATAGTCAAGACGGGATTTGTACCTCTCGTAAAAGAGAGAGATATCGCTGGGCCCCTCGTGTGAGCGAGACTGTAGAAATGTGTGGCCGCACTATAGACGAACGTCGTCTATTTCAGACAGTCGAACTCAGTGAACGAGAAAGCAGTCGAATCAGATAAGGTGGCTTGTCCATGCCTTATATTCGACATATGATATCGTGATACAAAAGGATCATCAACCGGAATCATCACTGGCGTTCGTAAGATCACGAACAAACTCTATTCGAGATAGGTAGTCATAGTGTCTTGCTAGAGACCATCTATGACTTGTATATCCGGAATAGAGATTTCGGGTTATACTGCTATATCGAATGAGCCTATGTCGAGAAATCTGGACAAGAGGTCCGGACCGTTCGGTCTATGAGTGGACCGAACGGACCGGAGCTTCTAGTCCGAACGGACCAAATTGTTGGACCGAACGGAGAACGGACTAGAGAGTCCAGTCCGAACGGACCAAGTGTTGGACCGAACGGACTGACCCGTCGGACCGAACGGACCTAGTTATGTGACTTGTTCGAACGGACCAAGTGTCCAGACCAAACGGACTACTAAGCAGTCCGTTCGGTCTGGGTTTCGGATTTAATTTTAAAATCCGGATCTAGGGTTAATCACTTGAATAAGAGGAGATTAATAACCCTAACACCAAGGAGCCGAAAAAAGAGAACTTCTTCAGACCTTTTGGAGAGTCTAGAGGGTTGAAGAAGTTATCTAAATCTCGTTTTTCTCAAAGCACATCATCAAATAGAAGATTCGAGTCCTAGCAGATAAGTTCCAACGGTTGGAATCCATCCCGAGATGTGGATACATGTAGAGGGCAATGTATTCTTCCTGCCTATAGTGATCGGACGAACACATCAATTGAAACAGGCCCCGAATCGATTGAGGTAAGCGTTTTAACGTTTCTACAAGATCATGCATGATAGGTTTTAGGGTTTCATCAAAATTTTTGTTTTTTCATCCGCTGCGCAAACCCTAAAACTGATCTCTTAGGAATTAGATTCGTTCTTGAGATCCTAAGAAATCCCAACATGATATTCACCCATACTTCTCCAATGATTTGAGAGATATAATTAGACAAACACTAGGATCCATTTCCACATTATAAAAAAAAAAAGCGTGAAGGTTCTGGACTGTTGAAATTATAAACTACCATGATTTAGGATATTTTCCGAAAGGGAAAAAATGAGCCGATGTTACTGACGTATGCAGTAAAGAGGAACGACGTCGGCCAGTTTTGGCCAATATTTTCATATATCGTTTTCATAAAATGTCGCTATACATAAGTCGGGCAACATAGTATACGTATACGATGTAAAGCAATATAGAAGTCGTGACATAGTCTCTCTCAAGACTTGAGGAGGGTGATGCGGAGCTTGTCAAGCGCCGTCTTTATACAGTCGACGCCACAGTCGGCGGCTTCGGTGATGTTGGGGCTGTCGAGTGGAGTCACGTCTTCTAGAGGGTAGCTTCTGCTGCCGTGGAGCTTGCCCACGTCCTTGGCTACTCCTTTCAGTACCACTGTCTTGTGGACTCCCCCCAGCAGCCCTTCGTAGTCGGTGTCCCCTGATTCTCCCACGTACACCACCACGTTTGATAGGTCCACCCCCCATCTCACCAGTAGGTACCTTTGAAATTGTTTCGTCAGCCATTTCATTAGCATTGGCCATTCCGATTTATCTTAGGTCTCGATTATTTCGGTTTTACAAAACTATAACCAAGATTCGGTTTTTATTGATAAAAAAATCATTTTCAAAGAATTTTCAAATTTTCCAGTTTTAGAAAAAAATTTGTATCCAATTGAATTCGGTTCGGAATGGTTTTTTGCATAACCAAACCGAAATGGTCGCCACTAGATTTGATGATTGGTTTAGTTTGAACCGGAATCTGAATTTGACTGAACCAGGAAAAATTTTACCTGAGAGCTTGAGATCGTGAAGCAAGGACAGGGATGACGTTCAGCCTGGCCCCACTTTGGCAATAAACTACATTGCAACGAAGGGCTTGGATTCTCATCAACTTCTTGAGCTCCTTTACTGGAGGAACCTGCCAAAGATCATGTGAGCTTGTAGTGTGTGTTTCCGAATCATATTTCAAGCCCGAAACGAAACTAAACAACAAGAAAACGAAGAGTGCTTTACCAAACTCGGGTCTTTCACTTTGAAGGAGATACAAAAGTTTGTCGATGCCAGCTCATCTTCTGACAGAATCCCTCCTTGTTCTGGCTTCTTCTCGTTAACAGAACCGGCCCAGCGGACCAAAGTCTTCCTCAGGCTCTGTCCGCCCCACCGGTACTCTATATGGGAATGGTAATCTCCGTCTAATTCGTACGGAAGGACAGAATTGTCATCAGAAGTTGAAGATGTGAAGTAGAGTTCACTGCCGCTGTTGCATATGACAGCGTCAAAGTCCTGCGGTTTCAAGCCTCCTGAAATTATTACGGAATGAGTTTCGGAGATGGTCATTGAAGTTGAGAGTATAAATCCTATGGACCAGCCGCCGCCTCTGCCCGCCAAATCGATGACTGTCTTGATTATCGCGAGAAGATCCGAGGATTTGTGGCAGTCCACCGAGATGACGAAGATACATTTCCGCCTTTTAAGGGTCGGGATTCTGCTATTGGTTTTCTCTGTAGACACACTCTTCTGTGCCCACGTTGAAACAGCTTTCGCTAGCTTCACTTTTTGTTCAGCAGCACTGTCTTCAGCGTCTAAATTAGTATCGAGACCGTCGATACCTCCACCCTTCTCACCATCCAAGGAAAGTTTTAGATTCAGAGAGATGTCTTGTATGTCTCTAAGGGAATCACCAGGTGAATCTGTGTCGGAGTTTTCAAAGTCAATTCTCTGCCACTGTGGTTGTCTTTGCTTGCACGTTGCTATGCGGGCCAAGTACATCCTGCAGTGCTCAGGCCATGAAAACAGGTGAATGTTCTTCAGGCCGTTCTGTCTGCATCTTGCCCACAGTTGTTTGTCTGAAACAAGTTTCAGAAGAGCATCACCAGTGGCCTGCTGGTCATGGGGGTCAACCAGAAGACCGTTGTCAAGAACCTGTAAGTTAGTAGCAATTGCCGATACGTCAGAGTGAATCTACATAATGGTTTGAGTTAAATGCGACGTAAGCATAAAAAAGAGAAAGATAAATGACAAACCCGGTGAATGTCGACAGGCCCTCCATTTTTTGTTGCAACAATGGGCAATCCATGAGCCGCAGCCTGTTCATCATAGTGAATGGTGACATGAAAACTTGAAAAGAAAACAATACTATTGAAGAGATTATATGAATAGAAAAGAAAGATAATTACCTCAATTAAAGTCAGTCCGAATGGTTCGATAAAAGCTGGATTTATAAACACACCCTGGAAATAATTCGGGATAAGATAGTTAAACAATGAAAGCATAACATTTTTTAACAGCGGTAGAAGAAGACTAACATCCTATGCATTTCAAGAATAGCAGAAACATGACTGTTAGTGGAATGAAATATGTGGCAAAACTAAGGGGCTTTGGATGCCCTCTGAGAAGGATCAGGGAAGAGAAACGGAGAGGCAAAGGACTGGAGCACAGATGAGAAAAGTAAAGATGTCACAGTTGAACATGAGATATGCATCCAGAACTTTACCTTCGTTTTAGCTGCTAAGCGGTAAATATCCGGCACATCAGATTGTTTGTGATGCTTAGGTATTGCCACTTGACCATAGAGATCATATTTGTCTATAAGTTTCAGAATCGAAAGCAGCACTGAGGAATTGGTTGTGGACAGTTCGTCAATGTCATCTCTGTTCCCCATTATCAATGTCTGCAAATTAAAGAGATCAATAAAAGGTGACATACCGCCAAGTAATGTTAACAAAAGAAATGTGGATGTAGTTCAACTGAGATGAACTAGACTGGGACGCACAAGGTTAGCAAGCTCCCTTAATGGGCGGCATTCTCCAAAGGCTTTCACTAGAGTCACCAAGTTCTTTTTAGGGTCCGGCCGAGCAAGAGCTAATATCATAGGCTTGCGTGGGTTAGAAAAGAAGCGCATAATCTGCCATGTAAAGAGTTTACAGTTAATACAAAGGTGGCACTGCAGCATCTTGCGGAAGTACAATATTATAATATGTAACATGTGTGATGAAATGAAAATTTTCAAGATGTCATTTGAAGATATAATAACCTCAGACCAAATTGGTGGATCAGGAGATTGTGCTTCTTCCTCGTCCCTTGCTCCTTCGCCATCCATATCAACATCATGTGGCACAATATGATGAAATTCCATCCCCGGAGGAATGGCCTAGATTAACACAATAAAACTACTTATCATCGCAGAAGGGGCAACTGGTCTATTAACAAAACTTGGCATTTGAAGAATAAGAATCTTTTAAGTCCTAAAAGGTACAAAGAGGAGACGAGCATAGAGATGAGACTTACAAACATGCGAGGCATAAATCTGCCATGACAGCTCACACCTCTTTTCATCCTAGCTCTTAGTTTCCGCTCCAAAACCAGATCAAAACCATCATAAAGGCGCCATTGCTCTTCTATCTCTTGCCTTGTGCTAGTTATAATAATTTCAGAGGCATCAAGACATAGTTCCTCTGCTTCTATCCGTCGCATTATTTTGTAGGTAGTATTTATTTCTTCCTTTGGTCGCCCTTGTTTCAGGAGTTGTTCGAGCTTATCACGTCCCAGAGAATGTCCGGTAAAGACCATTGGTACATTTAGAGCCCCAGAGAGAAGAGCAGCAGAATCGCCAGCATCTGCATAGTGTCCGTGAATAGCCACAGGCCAGAGCGGTTGGCCACCACCGTTTTGCTCACCAAGAACTTTGGACATCTCCATAATATGGCTAAGTGCCCTGTCAACAAATTCAGGGATGTGGGGCCAAAGGAGCTCTTTTGGTACATATTTGTCTTTTGGACCAAAAGGTATGCGAATAATATAAGCGCCACTACTCTCGCCATGCTCATGCTCTGCGTTATCTGTGTTCCTAGGATTCAGCATCTCGGTTGGTTCAGCATAGCTCCAATCCACATCTGGTGCTGATACTTGCCTGGTCAACAAATCAACCCGATAGACTCCTGGCATTGAACCCAAAGCCCTTGCAAGTTCCACAACATACTTCACCTGCTTGTCAAGGGCCATTGTGTATTAAGTGAATTAAGTAATTACTTTTTTTAAAAAATTTTGACAGAATGTTTGTAACAAGAAGTTAACCTGGCCACCAGTATCAGAATCCCGACCAAGTTCCATATTTTCACCCCGTATCAACCCATGAAGACTGCAAGAAGATTTCCCAATATTACTTAAAAAATTTCTGGTAATATTCATGCCTTTCCACTTTACAATTCACTCGCTATTCCAACTACGGAATACCATTGTTAGAGAGGAACAATGATTGAAAATGGACCTCTAGTTATATATATATACCTTATTAACACAATGTAAAGCTTCTTTTCCTTGTGTTGAGCAACCCAGTTCTCAAACACATCAACAGAACTGATCCTAGGCATTCTTCCTTTGGTGTTGTCACCATGAATTGGAATATCACCAGGCACATCTGCTTTTTCTCTATCGGATAAATCTTCAGACATATCCGCGGTTGCCTCCCTACGTGCTCTTTCACGCTCGAGATGACGTTTAGCAGCACGCTTAGCATACTTTCCTTCAATCTGAGTGAACAAGAATAAGAAAATAAGCAAGTCCTAACATTGATCATCTCAGAACAAACGTCACTCTCACTCATCCGAAATTATTCTAACCACAATAGAGGAACATAATTAAACAGGGAACTCACAGTTACGGTTCCAAACGATCAACTGCAACACACGGAATCTAATAGGAAATCGAGATCCAACCAATTTTCACGATCTTAGTAATTAGTATCAATTCAATCAACAGACATGTTGAAATACGAATCTGAAGCAGGGAAAAGAATTTTGATCGGGCTATTGATTGAACTTGGCAACACGTATGGGTTCTGGGAAAGGATCCCCGGGTATTGGGTAGCCGTCATATTATCTCCCTAGTACCATCCGAATACCAATTCACTCCACAAATTGAAGCGAAACAAACTGGAAAAGCAAAGAAAAACCTGTTTTTTTTAACCAAAAAAAAAAAGAAAAACCTGTTTCTTCTGGCGAGCCAAATTCCAAATCCTCCAGCACAAATTCTCCAATCTCGTGTTCCTCTCCTGCGGACTCCTCGTAGCCGCAGCCTGTGAAAACCAGAATAAAAAGAAACATGAAATGAAATTCCAGGAAACTCCAACGCGCACGAAAGTCAAAATCAAGCCTATACCTGAATCCAGGAACGGTGGAGATCAGTCTCATCGAAGCCTGTGATGACCTCCTCGACGAAGTACCGAGTCGGACTGAAATGACCACGTTCTCTTAGCAGGAGCGACGATTTCGAGTCGCCGATCCCTGGTTCGGCGGCGAGGATCGCCTCCAGGTAACTATTCACCCAGTCGTTTCCCACCATTTTTGGTACTCGACGACGATTATCTTCGGAAGAAACTTGAAACGATCGAGGAATTCAACAGTGTCTCTGTGGATACTCGTCAAATCGCACGTACATGTATATGCTGAGATTCTACAGTGACTTTACGAATTCGAAAGAAAATTCTCCGGAGGGAGAGACGGATCAAGCAATCGCTGGGTTCAGAAACAGTTACAGAGGAAGGTAGAATTGCGGAGAAGATTGAGAGAGTTCAGTTTTCGGGAAATGGACGCTTCAATGAGCGAAGCACATGAACATGAACAAGAGAGAGAGCGGGAGAGCGAGAGAGCGAGAGAGAGAGATGTCCAGAAAAAGGCCTCCAAGAGTTATTCTTATTCCTTTTATATTCTCTCTTTTTTTTTTGCCTTTTTTTTATTTTTATTTTTGCACCCATTGCTTCTCATAATATGCCCTCTCGTTCTGTTATTTTTTGTTTTTATTAAACGGGGACAGATAATCCGTTCCGTTGCGTAACCGCTTGGTTGTTCCGTTTCCAACTTCCGCAGTAAACTAATAAAAAAAAAACTATCGGACGGATTAAGTATTTTGTTTCTGAAATGTAATAGTTTTTTTTAAATGAATGGTGTAATTTTTTTTTCTAAAATATATTAAAGATATCAATTTACTATTATAAATAATTAGAATTGTTATGAATAAATTAACACACTCCGTGGTTTCTTTTTATATTTTTATGAGTGATAGGAGTTTATTTGTAGTTTTGTGGAAGATTCTGATTTTAATTTAAAATAAATATTTAGAAGAATATATTTAGGTAATTGAACTGTGTTTAAGTCGTGGCTAAATACTTTCAATATAAAAACACTCGATTTAAAATTTTATTGATATTTTAATTTTGATGTATTCTTACGCTTTCTTCAATCGTTTAAAATTTTATTTTTTAAATCTACTAACAAAGGCTAAAGTAATCATCTTTGTAGTTTCAATATACATATATAGTGTGTGTATATACATACTATTTAACTAAATTGCATTAATGTCCGCATCTGCTTTTTTTTTTTAATCCGGAAATTCACCGAACCTTCGGCGCCCACACTAGATTAGATTAGGTCTCATGCCACATCTTAGCAAGCTATCTCTTTATTGGACAAAACACTCTCGGATCAGCTGGACAAACCGGTTTGGATGGTAGGAAGCAAGACATCACTTTACTTCATGACGAAAGAGGTACGTAAAGCTATCTCTCCGACACATAATAATTTATTTTTTACAGGTTGTTTCTGCATGATCGTTGCCCGACAAAAGAACGTACGGTGATGCATCGGGGGGTCCAAATATCTTCCTCTTGTATGTTCTGCAATGGACACGTCGAGAGCAAGAACTATCTATTTTTTTATTGTCCCTGGACCCAGGAACTTGTCCTCTACTCCATAAGGAATGGCATATGCTCAGGTGGCTACTAGGGACACCATCGTGCGAGCTTCGACGTTGGGGTATATGTATTACGTGGCAACTTTTGCTTTACACAATCTCGGCCCATAATTTGTCCAAAATCATAACAAATTCAAGCGTACAGACTTTTACCAAAAAAAAAAAATCAGCTTACATTACAGACTTTCATTTTTATTTTATAAATTTCAACCGCCAATCTCTAAATCATCTTTGACCCTTTTTCTATCAAATTGGCTTTTGAGGTTTTTTTTCCCCACGAAATTCTAATAACCAGAAAAATTATTCAACCTAGGGGCGGATTCATCCCCTCGTGTCGTGGAATAAGTTCTGCACATAATTACCACATTAATAAGCCATGATTCTTTTTTAAAGATTTTAACAAACGTTTTAATTTATTTTGACATCCGATTCTCCCTTTGTTAATCCCTTATAGTTTTTGCCATATTTTCATATTTAATTTTGATATTTTTCTTCAAAACATAGATTGCGGTGACAAATAAATGATGTAGTATCAGATATAAAACTGAATAAAATATAAACGTAAAACAAATTAAATAGAATTCAATTTAAAGATTGTAATGTGATTATTTTAAAATCAATTTAATGGGAAATAATAAATTTGAATTGAGTATAAGAATAACTGAAAACAGAAAAATAACTATTTTTATTAATAAAATACGTTTATTAAAAATATAAATCCTTATCGTTATTTTCAAAAGAATGTATTCCCCTGTCTTTATTCTTTTCATCTTTTTACAAATGTTATTGCATGGATATCTTTGCTTATATTATTTTTTTTTTAAATCTAGTTTTCGTTTTCGGTAGTTAAATTTATACTATGTCGTTTAACTTTAATTAAAATACCATAATTTTTAAAGAGATTTTCATTTTTTTTACTTCTTTTTATTTTTAAATTTGTTTCAAATATGTGAATTGAACTTCATAATAAAAGCCATATACAATTCAATTTTAAATTGGTTTAAGTTTCCACATAATTGGTTATTATGATTTATTTAGGTTATATTTTTAATATCATACGACAAAGATGATGCGCGAAATCCTATTCTCCTTACAGACGACAAAGCCAGGCTCAAATAATCTCCTCCTCCAAGAATGGTATGCGTTAACAAATTAGGCTCGGTTTAGTATCCAGAGAGATATTTTGTACCATTTCTGCATGAGAATCTTGTTTTATTTTGTAAAACTGTCACATGACAGGAATCCTGTAAATACCGGATTTTGGTTTGAAGTTAATACAACACTCACATTTAATCAAAAAAAAAAATATCATAAACCAAAATATGTATCTTATTTGTAATAACACTTTGAAGTATTTTTTTACTTGGGACAATACATATAATATTTTTCTGTAGAAAATACTGACATTTTGTGTTCTGTCTCTCGACACGACACCACAGGCGGATTATTATCAATATCAACATAAAACAAATATGAGTCGTCATCATCAGATTAGATTAAACTTGAGTTTATTATTTTAACCATAACATTTGTGCCATTATGTTAGCGATTTTTTTTTTTAATTTTAATTTTCCCAAGCAGTTTAATGAAAGAACATGGTCAGGTCAAGTGCACGAACTGCTTACGCAAAGTATATGGAAAGATTCCTTAGAATCTTAATGAGAACCACACAACATTCATAATGTAAAATTCATGTGGTCATGTACACTTGGCGAAATCTTAAAAAATAAAATAATGATAATGATAATAAAATCACATGAGCTGACTTCTTTTTAATTTATTTCGTATTAATTAATTATTAGATATTAGATTGGTGTGTGGCACGAAACGACCACTTACGTTCGTCCACGTAAAGTGGTACGTGGTGATTTGATTTCTGTTTAAAAGGATTGCATTAGTCCCGAGAATATATGCTCCTCTTGCAACCTTTGGTGGTAAAAAAAACACTGAAAAGATTTCTTTTGCACGGGCTCGCATACATATTATATATATACATGTATGCACGTCTACATATATATTAACGTACGTTTATATACACGCATACATATACATAAATATATATATATACATATGCGTATATATATACATATATAAAAATTACCCAAAAAATATATTAATAATTTTGTATGGTATCATGTTTGATACTATTTGATTTTTTGAATTAAATATTTTTTAAAATATTTTAAATATTAAAATTAATCTCTTTGATGCATCCTGCAAAACAAATATCGAATATTTGTAATATTTATATTAATAATTTATAAAAAAATATTTAGAAATGTTTAGAAGTGTTTCATTTGAAAAACTCTATAAAACACTCTCTATTTATATTAAAACTGTAAATTTACTATTTTCACTTTAACCACACATCTTTACTACCTCATCAATCAATCATACTTAAAACACACAAATTCAAATTTCTATAATCGTTTTACATAAGCATTGTATAAGCATGACATCAACGAATGAATCAACTTTTCAATACTCTTAATCGATTCATTTACACGTCATCTCAAGTTTCTTCTTTAACTCCTCAAATCTTGAAGTTCATAGTGTCTTTTGTGAACCCACTACTCCTCTCCTTTGACATATGTGAGTTTGATAATTCCATTATAATTCGCTTCTCTCACCGCATAATACTTGATGTTGATATACTTTGTCCTCGGATGTTGAACCAGATTTTTTTCCAACGGTAATAGTTGAGCAATTATTATAGAAGATCGATGTGCTCCCTTCTTTGATTTACCCTACACTGTTAAGTAGATTGTGAAGTCATATGGTTTGGTTCACCACATCTATTATTAAGATGTGTTATTCTTCTGTCGTTGATTGTGCGACCATCTCTTGCTTTTGTATCTGATATGAGAATATTGTTCCTCCTACCTTGAATACATAGCCATTTGGGCTTTTTATGTCATCTTAACTTTCGATTTAATCACTATCACAATATCCATACAATAGTACACAGTTTTCGGGTTTAAAATGTAAGTCAAAGTCAATAGTTCTCTTGACATACATCAATATCCTTTTTGCTTGTTTGAAATATGTTTTTTTGCTGTTTGATCATAAATCTTGAAAGATAACTCGTAGCGAATATGAGATCAAATCTTGTGGTTATTAAATACAACAGACTTCCCCACCATACTTCGATATTCTTTTACATATGATTCTTTCTCTTCTTTCATATCTATGGTTTTATCATTCAGTTCAAATGGAGTGTTAACTGGTTTACTGTCACTCATCTTGAACTTCTCTAAAATTTTCTTCACGTGGCCCATTCTCTATGGTCATTTGGGATAAAAAACCTCCATCTGAACTTTGTTTTATTTTTATCCCTAAAAAGTACTTTATCATGTCATCTCAAAGTTATACATCACTCCTTCTTTGGATGTTTTTACATTCTCCTAATTAGCCATGGTAATGAAACAAACAGTTACTGACCGCAACAACCACCACGATCACAGCTGTAACAATGACGATGCCATCGAGAACAAAGGCAGTGGCGAGAGTGATAAAAGTGGTGCCTCACAATCCAAAGGCGGCGAGTGAATCGGTCGCGAGGATTTTCCAATCAATATATCAATACAAGCAGAACGCAAACATTACGAGTCTTCTGTCTGAGGCTAACATCATTTTTTTTTGTTTTTTCACATCGAGGTGGTTGATGTCGTTATCCGAATAACTCTGATGGATTGCATACGGTTTGTGGTGGATATAATAATAATAATAATAATAATAATAATAATAATAATAATAATAATAATAATAATAATAATAATAATAATAATAATAATGTTAATAATAATAATAATAATAATAATAATAATAATAATAATAATAATAATAATAATAATAATAATAATAATAATAATAATAATAATAATAATAATAATAATAATGTAAACATTGTTTTTTTTTGTTAAATGTTCTAT